AATCCAGCCCGGGCCCGCCAAACAACAATGACCGCTGTAATCAAAAAAATAGCTAGGCGTTTTGGCGGGTGTCTGTAGTCCCAGCTACTTGGGAGGCGTAGGTAGGAGACTCGCTTGAGCCCAGGAGTTGGAGGCTGCTGTGAGCTGTGATGCCATGGCATTCTACCCAGGGTGACAGCTTGAGGCTCTGTCTCAAAAAAAAAATAATAATTATTAGCTAGGCGTGGTGGCCTATATATAGTCCCAGCTACTGGAGAGGCTGAGGCAGGAAGATTGTTTGAGCCCAGGAGTTCAGGACGCAGTCAGCTATGATGATGCCACTGCACTCTATCCAGGATGACAAAATGAGACTCTGTCTCTAAAAAAAAAAAAAATAGAATTCATGTACCATATCGTTGACCCATTTAAAGTGTGCAGTTCAATGGCTTTTACTACATTCAAAGTTATGCACTCACCACAATTTGTTGTTGGGTTGTTTTTTTTTTTCAGCAGCAGAGTGTCTTTGGAATAACAAAACAATTTGTTGTCGTTGAGACAGAGTCTCACTCTGTTGCCCTGGGGTTGAGTGCTGTGGCATCATCATAGCTTATAGCAACCTCAAACTCTTTGGGTTCAAGCAAACTCATGCCTCAGCTTCCCAGGTAGCTGGGACTACAGTCACTTGCCACAATGCTCAGCTAATTTCTCTATTTTTAATAGAGATGGGGTCTCACTCTTGCTCCAGACAGTCTCCAACTCTTGAGCTCAAGCAATCCGCCCATCTTGGCCTCCCAGAGTGCTAGGATTACAGGGCTGAGCCAATAAGCCTGGCCTAAGTACTCATTTTTTCTAGGGACAGTTATAATAAATTTGGAATATGTAGGAGAGTTAAGAAAATTAAAATATCATTTTATAGTGTTTTAGGTAGAATTAATATTCTTTTTGTCCTATAGGAAAACAGTGCTACAGTGCTGTGGATAATTAGTAAAAGATTTAAAAACAGTCTAAATGCCTATTAGGGGACTGGTTAATCATGGCATTTCCATACAATGGAATACTTTCTAGCTCATTGTTAAAAAGAATTAGACAACTCAATGTTCTGAAATGGAACAATCTCAAGATTTGCTTTGTGTTGTTTTATTTTTTTTTTTTTTTGAGACAGAGTCTTACTCTGTCACCCTGGGTGCAGTGCAACCGTTGGTGTCATCTTAGCTCACAGCAACCTCAAATTCCTGGGCTCAAGAAATCTTCCTGCCTTAGCCTCCCACAGAGCTGGGACTACAGGCACATGCCATAACACCCAGCTAATTTTTCTATTCTTAGTAGAAACAGGGGTCCCACTTTTGCTCAGGACAGTCTGGAACTCCTAAACTCAAGCAATCTGCCTGCCTTGGCTTCTGAGAGTGTTAAGATTATAGGCGTGAGCCACTGAGCCTGGCCTCAAGATATACTGTTAACTAGAAAAACCAAAGCAGAAGAGTTTGTTAGTATGTTACCCTGTGTATATATACACATACATGTGTTTATATTAATAGCTTTGGTAGGACATATAAGAAATTGATAATAATAAAAATGTCTGGTTTTAGGGAGGGTCATAATTAAAACCTATTCACTATACCACTTGTGGCTTTTGAATTTTTATATCACACACGTAGATCACATATAGTACAAAAAATATTTTCTCTTTCATTTGCTATCTAAAGTAATTTTACCCTTAGCTAAATAGAAAAAAAAAATGACACTATCAATAAACATTTAAGAGTAAGATTAACTATGAAGATTTGACATTTTATTTCTCCAAAATAGAATTATAGAGCACCAAAGAAATCATCTTGTCAAGGTTTTTTTTTTTTTTTTTACTAAAACTCTGAATAGCATTAAGTAATAAATACACCATAACAAGCCATGTTAAAGGCATCAAACATTTTATTACCCTTGAAATGTTCCCTTAAGAATTTTCACTTTCAGGTCGGGCGAGGTGGCTCACACCTGTAATCCTAGCACTCTGGGAGGCTGAGGAGGCTGGATTGCCTGAGCTGACAGGTTCAAGACCAGCTTGAGCCAGAGTGAGACCTCATCTCTAAAAATAGCCAGGCGTTGTGGTAGACACCTGTAGTCCCAGCTACTTGGGAGGCTGAGGCAAGAGAATCACTTGAGCTCAAGAATCTGTAGTTGCCGTGAGCTATAATGCCACGGCACTCTACCAAAGGTGACAAAGTGAGACTCTGTCCCCAAAAAAAGAGAGAGAATTTTCACTTTTAAAGTTCTTGAAATAATACTCATTAAAAATTCCTAAAGACCAAGGGCCCAGTGAGATGGCTCATGCCTATAATCCCAACACTGGAAGCTGAGGTAGGACAAGTATTTGTGGTCAGAAGTCTAAGACCAGCCTAAGCAAAATATTGAGACCCCATCTCTACAACAAAAAAAAATAAAAAAATTAATCAGGTATAGTATTGTGTACCTAGAGGTCCAGCTACTCAGAAACCTGAAGCAGGAGGATCACTTAAGCCCAGGAGTTTGAGGAGTTTAATCATGCCACTCTAGCCTGGGCAGTGGCATAGTTTTGAGACCCTGTCTCAAACCGCCCCCTGCCCCCAAAAAACATAAAACAACACTTGTGTTAACATGTCCATAGCCTGCCTGAAAATAAAAACATAAATGAACAATTTTAGAGCAGCCATGCCTAACCCTTTCAGATTTGAGGTCCCACTCCCCAAGTTAGGCCAGTTTGAATCAGGTTTCTGTCACCTACAACTGAAAAATTCCTAATTCCAAATGGCTGCATGTTTCAGGTTTGGCATAATCTGGCAACAGACAGACAATTATCAGTTGGAAATCAAAAACAAATGGAAAGTAAGCTCTGTGTATTATTTTTTCTTTTTTTAATTATATAATACAACAGCTTTAATGACTTTTATTTAAAGCACACACAGGCTGGCTTGGCGCCTGTAGCTCAGTGGCTAGGGCGCCAGCCACATATACTGGAGCTGGCGGGTTCATATCCAGCCTGGGCCTGCCAAACAAGGACAACTACAACCTAAAAATAGCCAGGTATTGTGGCAGGCGCCTGTAGTCCCAGCTACTTGGGAGGCTGAGGCAAGAGAATCACTTAAGCCCAAGAGTTTGAGGTTGCTATGAGCTGTAACGCCACAGCACTCTACCAAGGGTGACACCTTGAGACTCTGTCTCAAAAAAAGAAAAAAAAAAGCATGCACAGGCTGCTAGTCTATGAAGATGATTAAAGGGTCAAGGCTTAATAACCATGCTAGGACACGGAATTCATTGACAATTTGAAGAGTCAACTCTGAAATTTGGTATTTCTCTGTTGACAGCAGGACCCAGTTAATTCAGCATCAGATTATAAATTCTCTAAGGGTAGAAATGATCTAATTCACCTTTGTTAACAGACTATAGCACCAAGTAAAGTAGTTAATGATGGCCCATAAAGAATTTCATTGAAGCTAAAAATCAGACCCTGAATGAGTCTCTTATTAAATCATCTGGCATAATTTGCTTCATATTACTGAAAAAGCTTAACAGAAAATGGAGTCTTGTGGGGGCTGAGAGATTAAAGTACTTACTAAAATTAGGAACATGACACATAAAAGTACAAAGTGAATGACTGCATATACTGATTAGCTGACTTTATAAACATATTCATCATTACCCTCTATATTATATTCATTTTATAAAATAATTTGTTTTCCTTGCTCAGCATAATGACATTCATTATACATATGGATTTCAGTTAACAATTTTTTTTTTTTTGGTGTGTGACTCAGATTCCAATCAACATTTTCATAGAAAAAAAGCTTTAAATAATTACCAAGTCCCAGTCAGAGAGTATACTTAAGAATAAACTATCTTGGTCTTAATAAGGCTTATCTTATTTATATCTGTTATTAGTTTATTTTTGTTTTCTTTTTATTTGGCTTATTAGCCTGGATTTAAGATAAAGGGTTTTTATTTATTTATTTATTTAGAGGGGGGAACAGAGTCCACTATGTCACCCTCAGTAGAGTACCATTGCGTCACAGCTCACAGCAACTGCCAACTCTTGGGCTTAAGCGATTCTCTTGCCTCAGCCTCCCAAGTAGCTGGAACTACAGGCGCCCACCACACTTGGCTGTTTTTTGTTGCAGTTGGTTAGCTGGCCCAGGCTGGGTTTGAACCCACCATTCTCGGTGTATGTGACTGGTGCCATAACTACTGTGCTATCGGTCCAGAGCCAAAGGGTTTTTATATTTATTTATTTATTTTATTTTATTTTTTGAGACAGAATCTCAAGCTGTAGCCCTGGGTAGAGTGCCATGGTGTCTTAGCTCAAAGCAACCTCCAACTCTTGGACTCAAGAGATCGAACTTCTTGTCTCAGTTTTTCTATTTTTAGTAGACATGAGGTCTCGCTTTTGCTCAGGCTGGTTTCAAAACTCGTGAGCTAGGCGATCCTCCTGCCCTGGCCTCCCAGAGTGCTAGGATTACAGGCTTGAGCCACTGCACCCAGCCAATGAAGGGTTTTTATGATTTGCTTTTTCTTTCAGGTAAAAGGACACATGAAAATTGTGTTTTTCCTCAGTATACTGTGGAATTTTTCATAATACTTAATCAATCTAATTATTTAACTCTATAATTTTTTTTTTTTTTTGAGACAGTCTCACTTTGTCACTCTTGGAAGAGTACCATGATATCACAGCAACCTCAAACTCTTGGGCTCAAGTGATTCTCTTGCTTCAGTTTCCGAAGTAGCTGATTTATAGGCACCTGCCACAAGGCCCAGTTACTCTTAGAGACAGGGTCTCGCTCTGGCTCAGGTTGGTCTTGAATCCTGAGCTCAGGCAATCTATCTACCTCAGCCTCACAGAGTGCTAGAATTACAGGCATGAGCTACAGTGCCCAGCAAACTCTGTATTTTATTTATTTATTTTTTTGAGACAGAGTCTCACTATGTCGTACTGGCATCACAGCTTACAGCAACATCAAACTCTTAGGCTTAAGCGATTCTCTTGCCTCAGCCTCCCAAGTAGCCAGGACTACAGGCAACTGCCACAACTCCCGGTTTTTGTTGTTGTGGTTGCCACTGTTGTTTGGCAGGCCCTGGCTGCGTTTGAACCCGCCAGCCCCAGTGGATGTGCCTGGCACCCTAGCCACTGAGCTACAGGCACCAAGCCAAAATATATAATTTTTTTAATTCTCACATTTTAAGCATGGTATTTTTAAGTCTTTCATTAAACTTACAGTTGTTTTGTTGTTTTACTTTCCTATCTCTTTTCATTTTATCACACAATTATGTAACATTTTACATTTATAATGTATCTTCATAGTCATAATACCATTTATTCAGCACAGTTTCTCACAATTTAATGTGTATTTTACCATTTTATGGTCACCCTACTTTTCTATTAATGCTTTCTGTCATGAAATCTACTTTATGGGACACACTGGTATAAATCCAATGGCACACTAAGAAGGGATCCCAGAGGCTCTCTGAGATTATTTTAATATCTAAAACATCCAAAGGAATTAACCTATGTCAAGGATGTAAGAATTAGGTTTCTTCACTTTTGGTTGGAAGTACATATTGGAAAATCTGGTTACCAAAAGCCCTGATAACCAAGATATTCCTTGGATTAATAAAAAGAGTAAAATTGGGTGGCTCCTGTGGCTCAAGGAGTAGGGTGACAGCCCCATATACCAGAAGTGGTAGGTTCAAACCCAGCCCTGGCCAAAAACTGCAAAAATAAATAAATAAAATAAAATAAATAAAAAGAATAAAATTAAAGGCCAGGCATTGGTGTAATACTAGCACTTTGGGAGGACAGGGCAGCGGGATTGTGTGAGCTCAGGAGTTTCAGAACAGCATGAGCAAGAGTGAGATGCCATCTCTACTAAAGAGAAAACTTAGCCATGGGCCCATCTGTAGTCCCAGATACTTGGGAGGCTAAGGCAGGAAGATCACTTGAGCCCAGGAATTTGAGGTTGCAGTGAGCTAAGATGACACACACTGCACTCTAGCCAGGGCAATATAGCAAGAGACTGCCTACAAAAATAAATAAATAACCACTTGGTTCAGTGCCCATAGCTTAAGTTTCAATCTGGCCCAGGCCAGCTAAACAACAATGACAACTGCAACAAAAAAACAGCTGGGCGTTGTGGGCACCTGTAGTCCCAGCTACTCAGGAGGCTGAGGCAAGAGAATCGCTTAAGCCAAGAGTTTGAGGTTGCTGTGAACTGTGATGCCATAGCACTCTACCGAGGGCAACATAATGAGACTCTATCTCAAAAAGAAATAAATAACTAAATAAAAATAAATAACCACTTAATAATTACCATTAGGCAGATCAAATCTGTGAATACAGAACCTGCATGGGGAAGGGAAGGATCAGTATAATCCTTAGAGGGAAAAGCCTTATAGTATATAGATTTTCAATTTTTAGATTTATTTAAATTACACCTCTCAATAAAAGAAAGAAATTAATTTTTGGATATAATCATGGGATTGTGATTTTTTTTTTTAATTATTTTTTTGGCTTGGTGCCTATAGCTCAGTGGCTAGGG